CTCTTCAGGATTGCCAAATGTCATTTGATAGAAGGACTGTCTCTGTTCTTAGGTTTTGTCTTTTTAATTTAATAATATTATAATATTCATATGTTTATGAAATGATGTTGATAGAAGATACTATTTGTAAAATAGTATTCTTATTGGGCAGAATTAAAAGCTGCCAACCATTTGTCAGTGTCCCTCTTATATGGGGAGACACTTAAACTCTGGGAGCCACTGATTAAACCCACATGGAAACATCCTTTCTGTGATGCAGGGGTTTATACAAACTAGCCACGTTGAAAGCCAATGTAGTGGCCAGTCCCTGACAGCATAGGCCAGCCCTCTGCGGCGGTTCCAGAGGCAAAGATTTCTCATAGAATATTATTCTGGGGTGAATTGGCTAATCCTTAACCCCTCATGCCCAGTGCCTGTTCTCGGGCTCTTTACCTGTCCATCAGGATTTCTCTGGGATGGCCTTAAGCTTTCCAAGCTAGTCTAAATGCTTTACTATACCTGCCCCTTCCTCAGCACCTATATGTGAGGGAGAATAGAGCCTTCTCATGTCCTCAGTCAATCCCCCCATCTCCCAATACCCCTTCAGGGGACCTCACTTTGGAAAAGAGCCTCCCTTAATGGTAAAGGCTGTATTTGTTGTTGTTGTTATTGTTTTAACTCCTTTGAGGTCAGAACTTCACTCTATTGTGAAAAGTTTTTGCAAATTATGCATTTCACTCCATTCCTCAACACGTTCTTCCAATCATAAAGTACTAAGGTTTATCTGCATAAAAATGAAGCCCATTTATAATTTTAAACTGCTAGAAACTAAAGGTACCATTAATAACAAATAAGGAACACGATTTTGGACATAAGAGAAAATGATAGTGGCTAAGCTGAGAATGCTCTCGCAAAAAGAGAAAGGCCAGGTAATTTTTTAAAGAGATTGAGACAAGCACTAAAAAATGAGGTCAATCACATAAAAGGAGAATGCCTGTTTTCTGGGATCTGAGGAGATAAATTAAATGGGGACAACTTTTAAAACTGAATAAGATGGGGTTAGGTGGGGAGCATCTTTCTGCCCCTATCACACACACAGATTTCAGCATAGAAGGTCAGAGACATTGTTCTTCAAATTCTTAGGCAAATTGTCCCTCTTGAAAAGTACTTGTTTTCCAATAAATAACTTCATGGTATATCTCTAGTCCAGGGGCCAATGTGGCCAGGGGAGCATTGGGCAGAGGAGTCAGGAGACGCAACTGGCTTGGCCGTTATAGAACTGAGATTCCAGGTGTAAGAGTTTGCTAGCACTGCTGTAACCGAGTGCCACAAACACGCATTTGCTCACCGTTCTGGAGGCTAGCAGTCTGAAGTCAAAGGATTGGCAGGGCTGTTCCTTCTGAGGGCTGTGAGGAAGGACATATTCCCGGCCTCTCTCCTGACCTTGTAGATGGCTGTCTTCCTGTTCACATAGCATTCTCCCTATACGCTTGTCTCTGTGTCCAAATGTCTCCTTGTAAGGACATCAATCCTATTGGATTAGGACCCACCCCAATGACCTCACTTTAATTTATACCTCTGTAAGGACCCTAGTTCCAAATAAGGCTACATTCTGAGACCCTGGGTATTAGGACTTCAGTAAATGAATTTGGGGGAGACACAATTCAACCCATAACAGCGGGCAACCTCTCTGGTTTATTTCTCTTCTTTAGAGGAGAACGTTGGCCTTCGTGTTCCTTAAGGGCTCTTTCAATCTCAGCTCTCCAAGATTCTTTCAGCCCTTTTAACACTGCCAAGCCTGGCCCCCCTATTCACAGGACTATAAATATAAGAATTTTCCTGACCCAGGCCTGCCAGCCCGTCCTGGAGGGCGGGAAATGAGTGGGGAAATGCTGGAAGGGTGGAGTTTTTCTTTAACCTTTGGTCATTTTCATGAGTTCTGTAATCAGACAAACATTTAGAATGTGGTGAACTGGGGTTCCTGACATCCTAAGGCAAACAAGCAAACTCGATGGCATTTGTTCTTTTCCAAATCCTGAGGTTTTATGTGTTCCAACGATAGATGACAAAATAGTTCCAGGGGAGCTGCAGTGTTTTGTTCTCCCTGCCAATTCATTAGCAACAGAACGGTTGCCGGGCTGTACTCCAGCTAGGCTGACATCAGTTCCCCAGTAAAAGAAGGACAGAACTGGAGCTGGGTCTGTGCAGCCAACAGGGATCAGGAGGGCTCAGCTGTACTGACACGTTGGCAAAAAAAAAAAAAAAGAAAAAAGAAAAAAGAAAAAAAAAGGGGGTGGGATAGGGGGAGAAAAGGGAAGAGAGTTGGAAAAGTTCGTACAGATGAAGAGGTCACCCAGCTTCTTCGAGAGACTCAGGAAAGTAGGAAGGTAGTGGGGAGCGAGGTATGGTGATAACACATACTGGGATCCGGCCAGCATAGTCTTCAGTGAGTATTTAGAAAAATTGGGGTTTGCTTGACCTATAAGTAAAAGCCATCATTTTTTAGAAACGTAAGCTAAGAACATGTGTGCAAAAAGAAACCTATATAAGGAAGCCGGGCTGGGCTGTAGTTATGGAACAGCCCACATCCTTTCTTTGTGCCTTTTTTATTCATCTCTAAATGAGGGGATGGTAATACAATTGCACTCTTCTCAACTTAAAAATACTTTTCTTCTGAATCACCTGACAAGTCTTTTTTCCCCCTGCACAGTGCTTATATCTATTAAGAGATCTTCCAGAGCCACTTTGTTGGTTTGGCAGCTCTCGCTGGAAGCGTCCGGCACTCCAGACGTTGAACGAGGTCACTGACGCCCCACTCTCCTCCTTGTCTTAGTAAAGTGCCAAATCTTTACGTTTAAGGTATGTTTTATTAGGAGCTCCCTGGGCTTTCTTTCCATAGCACTTCTCCATTCTCACTTCTGGACTTTCCTCCCAGCTTTTTACGATGTTAGAGAGCTTAGATGGATGCTACTTCATGGCTTGTGAAAAGCCTGAGTATTATATGAGTGTGTCTACATCTTACCTTCTTTTTCAGCCACATGCAGCAGGGCAGGGGAGAAAGAAAAATCATCCTTGTAGCCCCACTCCCAGCTGATGGGCAGGCACATCCCTTGCTACAAAGTAGCTGAACAAAGGGTCTCTGCACACAGAAAACCAGGATAACAATGAGTTTATCACAAAAGAAAAATCTGATGTTAGGTGAATTGAGGATGAATTATAATACATTAAACAACTTACTGTGGTTCAACCCCATTTCCCGACTGGGTTTTCTTTGACTTATGTATCTCAAAATGATCCATTTTACCATCTTTCCACTTCTATACCCTCGGATACTGACTCTCAGATACTAAACCTGGTCCTCCTTCTTTAGAAATCATCCACTTATTTATTTGTCCATTCATTCATTCAACACCAAGGACAGAGTGTCTGCCATCCACTAAACATGGTGCTTGGGGATGCACAGAATAATAGGAAAGGTTTCCTGTCCCAGAGGAACTCCTAGTCCAAGGTCTCCTCCAAACCATGAGGGCTCTGGATTTGGGTTTTGACTTTGACTTTGACTCTTTGAACTTACAGTACCCTTGCTTTCTTTCCAAAGAGGAAGTTGGCTTCCTTGCTAAAGCAGAGCATGGATATCTGCCAAATTCCTGTCCTTAACCAGATATCCAGTCCCAACTTCTCCTGCTTCTTCCTGTCTCTATTTAAAGTCCAGCAGGACAGTTCTTTTGCCTGGAGTTTCCACTCAAATTCAGAAGCTCTGTCCATATACTGAAGGTTATAAACTAGAGCCTTTGGGCCTACAGAACCTCTTAGATGTTGCTTCTGGGGAGTCTCAACCTTGTTTGTTCCCTCTTGGGTCCACCCTTAGCCTGACCGCCACTGGACTATGACAGAATTCTAAGAGTCCAGTATATCTGAGAGCTCATCTGTAACAAAAGAAAGTGAAGTCAAAGGGGAATGTCTAGATATTTCCCTTCTGAACCAATCCAGTCTAACCGAGTTGTCAGAGTGGTATCTGGTGGCAGTAACTCTGCCAGGCCCCTGGGAGCCCAGGTCTGATGGGCACAAGCTTCTCGGCCACCTCCGCTGCTTTGTCTTCTGGTAGGGCTGGGGGGAGGTGGTTACGGGGTAGTGATGCACAGAGAGGTCAAATGGGCACTGGGCACAGCCTATATCTGCTGAAAATATTCACCTTGAATCCAATCATGAGGAGAAAATCAGACATCCAGTTCATGGACATTCTACAAAACAATTGTCCTGAACTCTTCAAAAAGGTTAATGCCAAGAAAGATTGTGTAAAAAGCAAGGGAGTTGTTCTAGATTAAAGAAAACTTAAGAACATGACAGTTAAATGCAATGCATGATCCTGGTTCAGGTCCCGAATTGAAAAAAATATGGCCATAAAGGACATTATTGGGACCAGTATGGCTGTGTGTGTGTGTGTGTATGTGTGTGTGTTTGTGTGTAGAAAGAGAAAGAAAGAAAAACAAATGGGGCAAAACGCCAGCAATTTGTGAATCTAAGTGAAGGATATATGGCTATTCATTGTACTGTTTCTTCAACTTTGCTATTGGGTTGAAATTTTTCAAAATAATAAGTTTAGAACTCCAATGTAGTTCAGGTTAATGGACAGAGAGAAGGAGAGATGGCATGAGGAGACTGGCAGGAGCCAGGAGGGCATGACATCCCAGTGAAAAGGCAGGAACCAGGCCAAGTTCTAGGAAGGCACGCTGGCCACAAACACAAAGAACCTGCAGCTTAGTGAGCACCTGGCTGCCTCAGGTCAGCCTCATCATCTGGAGAGCAGATGTGGAAGCAAGAGGCAAATGCAGATCCACTAACAAGCAAAGAACTCCCAATAATGCCACGTGTGGACTCCGGAGGCTCAGAACTGGGAAATATTGAATAATCCAGTGCTTGGCCATTATTCCAGAGGCCAGACAGACTGAAGCCAGCAGGAACTAACACGTCTGCTTAATGCCCAAGGAACTCAAACGGTGGGGGTAGGGGCTCATCAGGAGGCATTGACCTAATTGGATTTTATTTGCTCTCAACTGGTTAAATTTAGCGTTGTCAGATTAAGTTACTAATTACTCCCACAGATGTGATCCTAATTTCTCCTCTCTTCCATCTTTTTTGTCTTCTGTTCTCTATTTGTAATTCTTTCTGGCGGTCCCTGTTCATCTCCTGGTTTTATGCCATTGTGATGTGTGGAAAACATTAGAAGACCTCTCTAAAGTGTCTTAAAATGCCTGAGTACAAAGATGCAAAACAAAACAAAACAACAACAAAAAAAACCCACAACGGCTCTCAAAGCTGGTTTCGGACTCAATAGTGTGACACTTCGTTTCCAAAGTTCAGGTTGCTGAGTGCTAAAGTGACCCAACCTCCACACCCTCTGGCTTTGTCATCTTTTGGCATTTCCATAACATTTCTGGCCCTTATAGGAATTTCTGATTTCTCCTTCTCGACTATCTTTTAATTTCAGCTCTCCTGAGCAGAGCTTTTCAAATTTTAGACAGGACTAGCAAGCAGTTCAGCCTTCTCCTCTCCAGGGTCTTCCCCTGTACATGGAGATGTACAGGGAGGGAGGTCAGCCAGGGGTTGGTACAGCCAAGGGCTCTGCTCAGTTTCCACCACGCACCTCAGTAACAAAGCAGCCGTGACAAGCATTGCCAGGAGCATGTGCTGGGAGCCAGGAGTAGATGAATTCCCGGTGTGAGTTAGGAAAACAGCAACCGGGTTTGCTACAGCTGTGATTCACATGCAGGATTCAGCCTGGAGAAGTCTCCTCCTGAGAAACCATAACATTTGCAGAAGTGGATTCAAGCAAATCCCAGTGATTTTCAATCTCAATCTCTTTCTTTCGCACGTTCTCTCCCTCTCTCAGGCTCTCTCTCTTTTCCCTTTCGTTGAGCAACAAATCCTTATGTTTGAATATAAATTTTAGAAAAGAATGAATTTACAAAAGAGATCAAAACTCAGCCTGTTTGATTTTTTGAGGGTGCTGTGAACCTACATGGCCCCTCCCCAGTCATCCCAGGATACTTTCAGGGTATCATCAGAACCCCACCAAATCTAGGGTATGAAAACCATTGCTTGTTCTGTCTTCCCCACACACAGAGGGAATATGGGGTCTTCTCTGGTCATGCTTTCTCAGATTCTCTTCAAACAACACCTCTCCACCGCTCCCCAAGCTGTTTCCATGCTTCAACACATACCAAGAATTTTATCAGGTAAGATCTGTTCTGTTTCTTTCTTGAAAGTCTGGAAAGTGTCTTTTGATGGACAATGAGTCTAATCATAACTGGTGCTATCTTCAAAAAAGATCACTGGCCTGAACTTAATGTATTTCATCCTACTAGGAAAATAAGGTGTGATCACATGCTTTCAGTTCCATGAGGTCGAAAAGGTCCTGCTCACAGATTTTTCCTTCACCTCCCTCATGGGATGGGAGAGCCCTAGGGTGTGACTCGTCTCCCAGGTTCTGTCATGCTGACTTTTTGTTAACTCAACATCTTTGATCCAATTGAACTTGCTTCATCTTTTTATTATTATTATTATTACACACTATGTCAGCCGCTTACTTTTCCTGCCATTGACCGCTAGTCACATTTTCATCTGTAACCTCAAACGTCATACGGGATGGAAAACTATGAGAAAGTTCACCTCTGAAGCCATGGAAAGTTCCCAAATGTGAGAACAACATGGCAACCTATGGTGGGAAAGGCCACTAAACAACTTTATTACATCAGCTATCACAATAGCAAAGACTCTTGGGGTGGAAAATTTATTTTATATGACTACCAATCATCCCAAAAGAACGTGTTTTTAGTCATTCATTTCAAATTTGTTTGGCTCGTTCCTCAGCTACTTAGTTATTTTTCATTTTATTTCGTTAGAGATTAGATTGTATTTCCCTAGCCCATATCAGCCAGAATGCTGTACACTCTTAATAAACAAACAGTGATGATCCATGTGTCCCCTGCTCTTATCCTCACCTCTAGTTCCCATCAATATCCCTTCTGGGAGTTCCCAAAGAGCATCTCACCTGGGTTCATCAAAAAGTTCAGGACCACCATGGGCTGCCACCCCTGTCTTCTTCTGCCTCTCCCTCTTCAGTGATGTCAACTGCCCTGGCCTTCACTACTTATGCAGCTGGATGAAGATGTCTCAAGGCTTCCTCCAGTGTTCCCAGTCAACCACCCCCTACAGGTCCATTGCCACTGTCACCACCCCTGATACACAGGGACCTTCAGCGTACCAATGTAGAGATGAATATTCTGGAGGTTATAAAGTTTGGTGGCAAAATGGGAGAAAGTCTCTTTTGTGTAATACATCTGCGTGAGGAGATTACTGAAGCAGAACTACCTTATATCCAACATCTTAGGGTTTTTAATGAGAATAATTGTTTCTCATTGGAGGTGCTATAACAGAAATTCCATGAACTAGGTGGCTTATTAACAACAGAAATTTATATGTCACAGTTCTGAAGGCTGAAGTCCAAGGTCTGGGTGCCAGCGTGTTTCTGGGGAAGGCCCTCCTCTGGATTTCAGACTGTTGATTTCTTGCTGTGTACTCACAAGGAAGAAGGGTCTAGGGAACTCTTTAGGGTCTCTTTTATAATTGCATTAATCCCATTCATGAAGGCTCAATCCTTATGACCCAATTCACTCCGAAAGGCCCCAGGTTCTAATACCATCACATTGGCCATTAGGATTTTAATGTATGAATTTTAGCAGGACACAAACATTCAAACCATTGAAATAATGCTTTCAGATTTTCTGCATAAGCCTTTCTCTTCTGGGACTCAGTCCTGGGTACATAGAAGTAAGACTAGGATTTGGGGAGTCCTGTACATTTCAGAATTATGCCTTCTACCAGAAGCTTTAACAAGCTTTTCTGTTTCAGTCTCTCTTCCCTTAAATGAGTTTTCTCTCCTAAGGTCATTCTCCCTCTTAAAAATCAGTTTTTGGCAGCTCAGCCCACCAAACAGGCCCAGACACGTCTGAACTCCAGCAGGGGATGGCTTAGGCTTAAGCTAAGGCCAGTGCTACATAGCTTTCTAGTTTAAATTTACTGCAGGCTCTTTACCCAATATGCATGCCTTTATTTCAACAGATAACTTTGGTTATATCAATCATTCATTTCTAAGTTAGTCATTTTCTTTTCTTTGGCCTTGTCCTTATGAGCTCTTCGATGTCAAATGGCAGATTAGTGAGGTTATTATTGATCATTTGATTCATGTGCATTAATCACATGAGTATGAAGTGTATCATTCCTATTTCTCCATGTCAGCATCCTGTTTGTATAAAATAAATTTAATCTGATGGATCTTTACTTGGATATGGAGTAATTGAAACCCTCATATGTTGCTAATGGGAATGTAAAATGGTGCAGCCCCTTCTGAAAGTAGTTTGGCAGTTCCCGAAAAAAGTTAAACATAGAATTACAATATGACCTAGCAGTTCCACTCCCAGGTGTATATCTATGAGAAATGAAAACATATGTTCACATAAAAATTGTACACTGGTACTCATAATAGCATTGTTCATCATAGCCCCAAAGTAGAAACCCAAATGTCCATCAACTGATGAATGGATAAACAAAATGTGATGTATGCATGCAATGGAATATTATTCGGTCATATAAAGGAATGATGTACTGATACATACTACAATTGCGATGAACCTTGAAAACATCATGCTAGGTAAAATGAGCCAAACCAAAAAAAAAAATCACATATTGTATGATTTCATGTACATGAAATGTTTGGAATGGGCAAATTTATAGAGACAGAAAACAGATTAGTGATTGCCAGGGACTTGAAAAAGGGAATGGGGAGTGAATACTAATGGATATGGGGTTCTTTTGAGGTGATGGAAATCTTCTGGAGTTAGATAATGGCAATGGTTGCACAACATTGTGAATATACTAAAAACTACGGAATTTCTATACATTAAAAGGGTGAATTTTATAGTGTGCAAATTATATCTCAACTTTTTAAAATGGATCTTTACTGCATATTAAGCATTCAGCACAAAAAGAGCCTGCTTTTTTCTCCTAATAACTAAAGTCCAGTCTTTATTCAGATTTCCTTAGTTTTTACCTACATATTTTTTTGTTCCAAAAGCCTGCTTTTTAAAGAAAAAAATTAAATAGTTGCCTTACTGATCTATGTTTATAACAAATTGCAGTTTTCTTGTAAAACGCAAAATCTTTGTAAAGCCCAAATAGACAGAATAAATGCTTTTTCTATTCGTTCACCCAGCAAATGTTGAGTACATGGCACAGCAAAATGCAGAGCATTGCAGAGATAACGGTGGCTAATGCAGATACAGCCCTTCCTTCACAGGGAGATACAGGCAATTCAATACAGTTTGAAAAGGGCTGTGCCGAGGAAAGCCCAAGGCTCCGTGGGAGCACCTGGGAGGAACACCCACTTGGACTTGAGGGGCCCAGGGAGATCTTTTTGGAGCCCTCAACTCCTACTGGATACCTGAAGTCAGCCCGAGTCAGGAGATCAAAGAGCAGAGAGAGGAATGTTCCAGAAAGAAGGAACAGCAGTGCAAGGACCCTGAGCTGGGAAAGAACACGGCATATTCTCAGATCTGAAAACAGTTCAGAACAGCTCTTGAAAAAAGGCCCAGTCTAAACATTTGGTATGAGCCGAGTTCAGACAATTAAGTTTAGGAATTCAATACTTCTGTCAGGATTCTAGCTTGTTCAAACTTTACTTTGTGTCAGAATGTTTTCAGCTGCAAGTAACAGAGATTCTGGTTCCCACGGGCTTGCAGATTAAAGACATTTATTATTTCATACAATGAGACGACTACAAGGAGAGTGGACTTCAGGCCTGGTGGATTCAGAGGCTTTCCGATGTCCGTAGGGGCCCAGCTTCTGAGTCTCTCTCTGCTATTCGCCCATTTAGTTTTTTTCAAAGGCAAATTCCCCTCAAAGCCATATGATCTGGGACTTGCTTTCCTGTCCTCTTTGAGCGGAAGAGACACTTCTTTCTCTTTTCTAAAAGCCTCAGCAAGCCTTCCCTGGCATCTCACTGTCACAAATTTCTGATGGATCCCAGGTAAGGAGATAGTTACTGTGAGTGGTTTGGATTAATTTTCTAGCTGTGGATTAAGTGTGGGGAGTCAACCTCAATGTGACTACCCTGGGGACCCTAAACATGGTCGGGTGCCTTGAGCTGGCACTGCATTCACCTGCACCTGCCTTGGGGCTCGTCTCCCACTTTCGTATCCAAAAGTATGTCTAAATCCAACTTTAATGCATGACAAGTGATGTGGTTTTTATTGCTACAGGTTTTGTGAGAACTTGGCTATCGTACTGAAAAACTTCCTAAAAATTATCTTCAAGTCACCCTTTCCTCAAATTTCCACTCCTTACCACAGCCACCACATCTCTTTCTCTCTCCCTCTACTCCACCTTCCTCCCCAGACCTCTTACAGCCAGACTGGTTGTTATATTTTTTTTCCAATCTGTTTCTTTAAATCCCTCAGCTTACATTTTCCACCCAGCAGAAACCACCCTTCCCCCACAACAAGGAAGAGAATTTCAGGTCACCTACTGTTTTTCCTGCATGCTTCTGAGGATCTCTACTTGCCCTGTTAGGAATTAATAATTATTAAAAGTTACTAAGAGTTTTGTGGAAATTGTTCTGTGAGGTGCTGAATTAACTCAAAGAGTCAGACAGCTTTGGCTAAAAAATAAAATGACTAAGATTTATTCAAGGGTCTTAGGGCTTGCAAACTGGAAACACTAGTAGGTAATACCCAAGAGAAAAAAAAGAGTCTGAGAGTTTCATGGTAAAAAGTATATTCTTGAGAAGAATTGGTTCTGCATTCTTAGCCCCCGGATTGGTCCAGGATGGTGATCGTCAGATGTCTGGTGGTCATTCAAATGATTAACTGAAGGTCTGAGGTATGCCCAGGTATTAATGCACAACAACACACTGATGTGCATCCAGGTATTGACACAAGACTGGAAGGTTCAAAAGTTTAAGTTCCCAGGCTAGTTAAAACAACAATAATTGTTTCCTTATGCCGTGACCCACTCCAAGTTAATAATTTAGCAGCTTGACCACAGCGACTCCATTTTATTTCTTCATCTATTCCTCTGTGGGGAAAAACATAACTTTAATATGGTTTAAAAATACCACAAACTATGTCTAAAGACAAACAAAAAATTGAGAAATATTTATGAAATACATGACAATTCCTTTAATGTACACAATTACTTTTACAAATCACTAAGAAAAAGATGAACATTCCAAGGTAAAAGATATAGCTGTCAGCTTACAAGAAAGAGAGAGATAACATTTATTTCATTTTAATTTTTCTAATCAGATTGGCAAAGATTAAAAAACATTACTAATACTCGAATATGGAGCAATAAGTGCTGTTGATGGGAATGTCAATTGGAGCAACTTTTCTGAAAGTCAATGTGCATTTGTGTCAATATTTAAAATATATCTACGTTTGATCAAGTAATTAACACTTCTAGAAATTTATTCTAAGGAACTATGCATGTAAGGACACAAACATGTATGTACAAGATATTCATCCTAGCTCTTTGAAATAGCAAAATTGAACAACTTTATTGTCCAGCCATAGGGGATTAATTTGTGTTCTCAAAGACTTGCTTACCTATGATTGTGTTTCCAAATCTAGCTCAGTGACATCCATATATGAATATTTATTGAATAAATGAACAAATAAATATAGTAGACGTTCTATAACCATTAAAAATGATGATGCACATTTATATTTATTAAATCATAAGACTGTCATCTGTTGAAAGAAAATGCATGTTCCAATACTACACGAATAGAATGATCTCACTCTTATATTAAAAAAAGCATGTGTGTTTGTATCCATAGAAAAAATGTTTAGAAGGCTATATACCAAAATATAAGTTGTGGCTCTCTCTACATGGTAACAAATATTGCTGTCTCTAAATACGTGTGCTACTGAAACACATCTACCTGAAAGTAAGCATAAACTACTTTGCAGTTTTATATATTTTGCTGGGACAACCTGAAAATGACAAGGTCCTTGTAGAAGCTTGCCACTGGGAAAACTCAAAAGGTTATAAAATTTTTCTCAAAGAAAATACAAAAAGAAAAGTCCCAGGGAGCTCTTCAGCAATACGTTGTGTGATGATGTACTAAGTGGACAAGAAGGTGGACAA